CCCGGCTGCGATCCCCGTCGAGGCGAGGTGATGGCAGGGGCACAGCCCGTCCCTGGGTGCTCAGGGCTGGGGGAGCCCCCCCGAGGGGAGTCCCCTGTCCTGGTGGGCAGTGCCCCGGCAGCGCTATAGGGAGCCACTCGCAAGCTTACCAGGCAGGGGGGTTTCTCCTCTCACCGTGCTTGCTGCTATTCAGTCTCCGCATCTCGTTTGCTTTAAGCAGCTCCTGGAGCGTGTGCAAACAACTCCTGTTCAGATGGGGATGGCAGAGGTTTATTGGCTTAGCCCTAGGTGCTAAAATCCTCTTCGTTCAAGGCAGATTCCTCTTCTCTTTTCAGAAACTTCTCTCACTGCCTGGTGGCTCATTTTTCAGCTGTCACAGCATCCCCCCACTGCCCCCGCGCTGCTCAGTCCCCTCCAGCCCCAGACTGGTCCCAAGGAGCTGAAGGACCTTGGGGAAAATCCCAGCGAGGTGGCTGGAAGTAGGGAGGCAGCGGGTGCAAGCACGTGAGCATCACCACGGGCACCGACGCTCCCGAGATGGGATGTCTTTCAGGCAGACGCCAGTTTAACCCTTTTCCTTCTCTCAGGGTTGGTGCGTGTTTTGGGGAGACGTGCCGGGATCAGTCCCGCTCCCCACCGGGACAAGCGCCTCGCTGCCTTTGTGCGTTTGCTTTGCAAAAGGACCTCGCTGCACAACTGCGTTTAGCCTTCTGCGGGCGGGGGGCAGGACAGACGGACAGTCCTGGCAGCAGGGATTTTCAACGCTGATGGGTGCCTCATGCAGCCCGTGAATGAGATAAAGGGAACAGGCAGGGCTGGTGGGTCAGAGCTGGTCCCACTGCAGCTGACACCGTCCCCATCAGAGCGGTCCCTTGTCACCTGCATCCCCACAGGGAGGCCCCGGGGCCGTCCCCTGGGTTTCAGGATCATGCAGATGCCCAGCTTGAACCCGCCAGCTCGAACACCTTGTGTCCCCCCGGCAGCCTGGATGTCCCCCTGGGGAAACGGGGGCACAGAGCGGGGAGTCCTTGTTCCCCAAGCAGGTTGTCATTAGTGGGATGAGGCTGAAATTCAGAAGCCCGGTGCCAAACCCTGGGAACAGCAGGCTCCCAACCCGGGGCCTCACCCCTGGCCCAGGTAATCCATGGCTGGTTGCAGCTATTGCTGCCTCCATAAGGGCAAAATCCTGCGCAGGGCAGAGCCCCCGGAGCCTCCCTCAGGGTTTTCCTGGCAGGGTGGCTTGTCCTGGTCCCAACCACGAGCCCCCGCGGCTGCTTGGAGGAGGGTCAGACCTTTGCTCAGCTCCTGCGGCGAGGGAAGGCATATCAGCCGGCTGAGAGAGCAAAGCAAATCCAAATGACAGCGCTCAGGAGGTGCTGCTGCTCCCTCTGATTAAATCAGACAGGAAAACAAGCCTCTCGGTTGCTTTCCCTGCCACAGCAATCAGCTGTAAATCAAGGAGCGATTAGGGGCATCTTCGGCAGCTGCCCGTCTCCCCGGCCCAATTTAGCCACCACCCTGGCCCATCGCATGGGTGCTGACACCAGCCCAGTGGCATCGCTCTGCCGAGCGGCACCACAGCTCCCATGCTTGCCCATCGGGATGCTGCATGGGCACGTAGGACAGGAGAAGGGATAAGCAGTCAAATTGCAGGATTAACATTTTCTGAAGGCTCTTCTGGGTACTGATTTCTGACCCAGAAGCCGCTGGGGAGTGAGGATGGAGTTAAGGTGAGGTTATTTTGGAGTCAGATGAATACGTGTATGGGTGGATGGTGGCTGAGGGGGAGGCAGCGACGCTCAGGGGCAGTTTGATTCCTACTGCAGGCAAAATCTGACCCAGGCTCCAAGTTTGCAGTTAGCAAAACACGTTGTGGGTATTTTTGCTAAATTATTTGCTATATTATAGAGAGATCTGGAAAGCAGTCATTGCAAACAACACCCACCCAGCCCCATCATCCAGCCCCCTCAGCTTCCCGAATCCACGCTAGCAATTGTGAGATGATGGCAGACAGCAAATTTCCCAGCAGTTTGTGGCTGCTGCCTCCTCCCGAAAGACCCCTGTAACCCGGCTGGTGACAGCTCAGCCTCCGGCTTGAGCAGCGTTTTGGCAAGGAAGAGGCTGGGGGGGCTCTGGGCACAGGGCTGAGCTAGTGACACCCCCTGTTCCCATCACTCCTAGCCCTGCAGCAGCTCTGAAATAGCAGGATTAGACCTACCCGGTCATGCCAAGCCTGAGCCGCTGTGATACAACATGACCTGAACAAGCCTGACTCAGCCACCTGAAAATAAAAATGTAACTGCATTTTCCATATCTATGTATAAACAAATACGTACACATATAATGTGTGTGTAGATATATGTATAAACATAATTGCTCAGACTCTGGCCAGCACCAGGACCTCGTAGCTCTCGCACCAGGACTAAGAGCATCTTGCAGGATCCTGTTCCACCCAGCGGCTTGCAACCGTCCCTGCAGCCCAATTTAAGCAAGCACTGGCCAGAGAAATGAGGCTGGGCAGCATTTCCTCAGCAGAGAAGATGCTCTGATCTGTTGTAATTAATTTTTGCCCATTTATTTCTGTTACCAAAATAGCAGCTCTGGGACCCCAGTGCAAACTGGGGATGGGTTTTCCTTCTCCTGTGCTCTGTTGCAATCTGGCTGTATTTAAGTCGATGGTTTAGGATGTCTCAGTGTAACCCTCGAGCCCCATTTTCTGGGATGCTGAACCTCGATGACTTCTGCTGCCTCTTCTGCGGGTCTTCAAACAGTTGGGAGAGGAGGGGAAGAGCAGGAGCATCTCCCATCAGAGCCTGCCCGGTGCCTGGAGAGGAGCCAAAAGGAGACCCTATCGCCCGCTCTGCCCCGCAGGTTTTGGGGATGCATGGGACAAGCGGTGCAGGGCCGTGAAAGGTCCTGAGCTGATGAATTAAATGCCTGGCTTTAGCCATCGTTTGCATTACCCTCGTTAGCCATCCTGACAGAAGTGTGCATGGCTTCTCGCCTGCAGCGTGGCCTTTTCCAGGGCACAAGCTCAGCCCTGGGGAGAGATTGGGGCAAACCAGACCCTGAGCATGAGGCCGGGGGGATCATTCAGAGAGGACTGAGCTCCTTTGAAGCAGCAGTTCATAAATCCTGGTCTTAAAAAGGGCTCTGCAGCATTTGCCCTTGCAGGCCTGCCTAAAAACAGACACGCTTTTCCCGTGGGTATCGCGGCAGGTTTATCAGCCATCGTGTTGCTATTTGCTTGCCAGACACCCAGGGCCATTCGCGTTTAGGTTTTCAGTGATCATTTAGCAAGCGGCCCCCATGCAGCCCACCCGGTGCAGGTGCTGGAGGGGGAGACGTCCCCCCTTTTGTGGCTGGGGGGGGGGGGGGGGTGGGCTGTGGTCTTTGCTGCGCCGGGAGCCGATGACAACGGGCAATTGTCAAGTTGGGGCCCCTCTCGTTTGAGTTTTCTTCCTTTTATAGTAAGTAGCAGTTGCTCCAGCAGCTGGCCTGCCCCTCCGGGGTGAGGACAGGGCTCCGTATATAACGGAAGGAGCAGACTTTGCCTTTCATCCCTCCGGTCGGTTGCTTCACTGGGCAGCAGGACTCATCCCTGCACCTTTGCAAAGACCCAGCGCGATGCCGCTCAAGAAACCCGACCCAAAGAAGGAAGTAGCCAAACCAGCTCCAGCCCCGGAGCCACCCAGAGAGCCTGCCTTCGATCCCAAGAGCGTGAAGGTGAGTGAGGAATGAAGACATCACCGTCTTTCTTCGTGCCTGTCATCTGCCAGGCACGGGCAATGCAATGCACCACACGAACGGCGTTAGCCAGGCTGAGAGCCAGGGTTGGGAGGGGAAAATTATCAGATTGCATTGATGCAGCGGGCTGGGAGCGATGCTCTCCGCGCTGGGGTGGTGTTTCAATCTTCCCCCGTCCAGCCCTGCACAGCACTCACCCAAGGAAACTGCCTCGCACTCGCTCTGGGACGCTGCTGCCCAGAGCTCCGGCTGCGGAGTCAAACGCCCCACAGCTCCTGGCTGAGACGCCGTGTCGGCGCCCCGGCAGCATTAAAAAGCTTTTCTGCCACCCACTGTCTCCATCCTAAAGTATTTTGCCGCCTGCGTTGTCTCCTCCTCATGAAAGCATCTTTTATCCAAGTCTCTACAACGGGAGCTCACTTTTTCCGTGATTCCCCAGGATATAGTTACATTTTTAAGCCAGAGCTGTAGCGGGAGAGTTGTTAATAGCAGGCTCAGCACGGAGGCTGTTTAATCACTTGAACTAGGGATCAAGCCTTGAAATAACATCCTTTCCACCCAAAACAGCCCCTGTGGTCTGAGCATCCCCGCTGCCTGCCCACCCCTTGCCTGCTGCGCTGCTGCCAGCTGCGCTTTCCGCAGGGATCTTGGCTCCGCAGTGAGAGCAGGAGCGCTCCCGGGCACGGCACGGCACGGCCAGACACGGCATGGATACAGCTCCCCACCCCGAGCAGGCTGCGGAGCCTGGGGAGGGAGATGTTCAAACGCAGGGGAGAGCCCCTTCGTTACCCCCGGCAGTAACCCAGCCCTCATGCCCGGCTCTGTTCTCTTCTCCCAACAGATTGAATTCACCGCAGAGCAGATCGAAGGTAAGTGCAGATTCACCTTCTCCCAGAGATGGCATTAGAAATGGGGAGTCCTTTTTCCAGGTAATTTTTCACAGCAGACACGAGAGCCAAGGCCCCACACATCAAATCCCCTCCTGGGGGAAAGCCCAGCAGGATCCGGGTACCCCATTCCCCCCAACACGCTGCTCATCCTCCAGGACGGGC